AGTTGCCTGCGATTGCTTCTGTATTTTTCGTGTTGGACAGACATTTTGTGATTCTGTCAATCAAATTGGCGGCTATTACCCATGGACGCAGCTGGTCCATGGCTGTGTGGTCTTTGTGGAACACGCCACAAATTATTGCCCCACTGATTTAATTTGTATTAAATAGCAGGCTGGCTGGGTGAATTGTCGTGGAAATAAATGTCTGGAGAGTGGAAATTGATAAGGGATATGCTTTGAAGGATAAAAAAAATTATTCAAAGAACATTCTTCATATTAATATTCTATTAAGCAAAAATGTATTTGCCACGTTTCACTTTTACCAAAGTGGCTTTGATTTCATAATTTTCTTATTATTTAATATGCAATATTTGGTCTCAACTTGATTAAAAATTCTGTTTTCGGCATGCTTTCCCATTTCATTAAGATATCAATGAAAATATTTTAAACATTCGAATTAAAATAAACTTGCTTGGCAGATGAAAACCATAATGCTGTTTGTGAGTACGAATCAAAGGAAATAATTTTATGTGTCCATCAACCAATTGCCAGTCATAAAATATATTTTCAGAAATTCAACAAATAAATAGCTTGCAAAAAAGGAGATGAATAAATTCGTTTTGTGGCACGTGATGTACCTAGAAATATATATATATATAGTCCATAGAGATGTGGACTAATCTAAGCCCGGATCGGATGGGGCATTCTCTTTTAATATTTATTTCAATTAAGCTACTAAACGACTCACTTAAAATGCAAATTGCATTGCACATTTACATACAGATTTGTCTACAAAAGCAATTGCAATATCTGAGCAGCAAACAAGTGCACTGCAGGAGCAAACAAAACACTTTTCATAAATTCAAAATGTGTGCGCACATTTTTAATAATTTACGGGGAACTAATAAAAAAAAATTCCCAACTTTCACACACAGGACTGAAAAGCAAGCGGGGGGATGATAAACGTAGAATATTTATTTTTTTTGGCAAATAAATTCACATGCATGCAGAAAGAAAATGCAAGAAAATGGAGGGTTGTACGGAAAAGCCAGATGGCAAAATACAATCAGCGAAAAAATTTGAAGCCAAGGCAGGTGGAATTTGAAGACTTGCATGTCTTGAATTTTCACCATGATAATGAACACGACTGACACATATTCTCCGTCAAATGTGCGTGAGTGTGGGTGTCCTTTTGAACGTGTGTGCGTGCCAAAGGCAAGGCCTGACAGATCTGATTTTGTCATTAAGTGCGTGTGTGGATGTGTTGGGTAAGGAGTGGACCAAAGTTTAAATTGTTTACGAACATTACCTCATTTTTCTAGAGAAATTGTTTTAAAAGTAAAGATAAACAAGTTTTATTAACTTAAATGATTACTTCCCACATTTCTGCCAAAAAATTCCATTTTAAAATGTCTGACTTAGTGCCATCAATTAAAATGTTTACAAAAATAACTTTTATGACAACTCGACCAGGTCAGCAAAAAAATTGGGTGCTAAAGTTCGTTGGCATGTTCTCTAGAACCTGAGAAGAGATTAAAACTTAAGGTTCATTTTTTAAACTTATTTTTAGGATATGTATACCCTTTCATTGTAGAAGATAAGAAACTGAAAAATATTACAATATTCTGAATATAATTACTAATGAAATTTTTTTTAGCACAGATCACCCTAATCCTTTATGTTCTAAAATCTATTGCCTTGGGTCCACCCTTAAAAGCTCCTGCATGTGTATGTGTGCGTGATATACTGGGTTAGGTCGTGTGTGATTGTGATGGTGCCTAAGCAATTGTCAATTTGTGTTAAATGCGCGCAATTAAACGGCAAATGGCACGCGTATAGAATGCCCCACACACACAAACTCTCACATGCGCCTACTTGGCATAATGTCGGCACATTAACCGAAAGTCGGTTGACTTTAGCATATATGCTAATCGTAGGAAAGACATAGAGAATGAAGGATAGATTAAGGCGGCCGAGTGAAATGTCAAGTGGCCCGTAAAACGATTGATGAAGCAATCCCAACCGACACTTTCCAACTAGCTCCCATCAAATTCTCGCTTATTAATTCCCCCCAAAAACTTTCTGGCCTTTCATTTCGGGGTCCTTTTTGTGGTTCACCACAGAAACATAGACCGCAGAGTAACACCCACTTCTTTGTTATATATATATATATATATATAAAGTAGACATGTGTAAGTCTCGCCCTTCGGCTGGATTTCATTATTTACAAGTTTTTGTTTATTGTCAAGTCTCGGCTTTCATTAAAAAGGGTTTTAAGGCTTGTCAACAAAGCCTTGCCACCAAACCATCGCCATCTCACTTCCTCAGTGTGTGCTTAACGAGCCAAAGTTTTCAACTTAAATTTTAGTTATGAATTTTATTAGGCCCTCCCATTGGGACAAAACTCCAACCTTTGGTCGCCGTCATCGTCGTCTCCCATTTCCGTTTAATTATAGTCTGCGGCTAACCCAAGGATTTCAACTTAATTAATTAATATGCATTTGATTTTGCAGCCCTCAGTCTGTCCTACAAGTGCGACGAGAAGCAGTTCCAGTGCTCCGACAAACAATGTATCCCCATACGGTTTGTGTGCGACGGCTTCTCCGATTGTGCGGACCATAGCGATGAGCGACTGGAGGAGTGCAAGTTCATAGGTGAGTGTACAGCGAGTGTAAAAAATCATTTAGAAGACAATTTTCCATCATTAAATTGAATACTCCTATAAAATATATCTATATATAAAATATATCTGTTAAGTCTGTTAAGCTTGGAGTATATTTTTTAAACAATCCCTGAGTAGAGTTCTTCTTGAAGCTTCCTAAATTTGTACAAATAAATCCCCAAAAAATCTACAGAGCTTTACAGTACTCTTTGCTTCTTTCCCTTTTCTTACAATTCTTACAATTCGAATCTTTCCTGCTCTGATTAGGCCTTCACTTCAGCTGTTGTCTTATTCAAATACACTCGAAAGGTTTCACAAAACCTCGCACTTGAGAGAAATCAACAGCCAAAGCCGCAAAATATGTATTTTCAGCCTTATTTTTTCTGGCTGTATCTTTTGCCGAAGCCTTTTAAAAGGAAAGTTTGCCAATTTTTCTACTTCTAGCTGGTGTTTTTTATTTATTTATTTTCGTATGTGTGTAGCCTGGCCATGGCCAAGAACTGGGCATATCTACAAAGTCAAGCAGTGGCTATGGAATTGGGTTTAGTATTTCGTATTGGAGATAAGGGACTTACAGAGAGAGAGAGGGGAAAGAAGGTCCTGGAAAACGCAGCTGTTGCCTGCGAACTACGTGCTCTCTCGCTCTAATCTGTTGTCAGTCATTTGTAGTTTTTCAATTTAGAAATGTCACAGAACTAACCATTTACTTCGCTCTGCGTGTGCTGTTTGCCATCGTATTGGTTTTGGTGTTTTTGTCCCTCTGCCATTTGTTTGGCTTCGCTGTTGAGTAAGTAACAACTGGCTGTTTATTTAGTGTCATGTAGGCAGGACTCTGGCTTCTCCAAATCCTCCTCGAATTTATTTTCATTTAATTTTTACACTCTCAGCGTGTGTGTGTGTGTATTTGTAGTTCTTTTTTTATTAGCCTCTGCATTTAATTTAAGTTTGGTTAGCAGCAGAGCAGTCTGTTTCGATACACGGATCGTTGCCTTCTTTTGGGCTGTGGCTTTAATTAAATTAATAAACATTGCCTACTTTCAGGCAGCGGTACTCAAACACTACCAGTCGTAAATATTGGGCAGGGGAGCTGTGTGAGCAGCTTAGTCTTTAAGCAGAAAACTCAGCTGAGCCGCAATTATATATATATATAAAAAGAGGGGGATCGGGTCTTAAGCCGACATACACGCCTGGTAAATTACCAACAACCCAGTTTCAGTCGAGTTGAGTCTAATTTAGGGGCACTGCAAGCAAGTCAAGTGCAATTTAACTAAGCCATTGCATCAGCCTTGGTTGATAAACTGGCTCTAAAAAGCTCAATTCCAATGGATTTAAGAACTCAAAAAACGCTCAATTCAACTCAATTAAACAGCAATCGAAATTTTATACTCAGTAAATGTGTTTAACAATTTTCTTGATAAGCCTAATTTGTCCAGCAATCTGTCACAGATTATTTTATTAGGCGTTTAGAGAGATAAGAAAACGTGAAGATGTGAATTATTATTCTATTATTTTACATTTCATGTTAAGTACATTCATTCAATTTAATTTTTTAATCAAACACTGTACACTTTACATTGTAAAATTTTTTATTAAGAAAACTAAAATCGAAAATTTATGAAAATTTTAACATATTTTAAAAATTTTTAAGTTTTTAAAAAAAATTTACAGAGGCACTGTAGTCATTTAGACATAAACAAAATTGAATTTTAAATATATTTAAAAATAACTTTAAATAAGAATAATATGACACATAAAAAGATTTGAACAAAAAACAAAGGAATAACCCCTGAATCATGACAGAGTGGGTTTTTTCGGATTAATTAAAAAATCTTTAATATTTGTTTTGGTTTTCTAATCATTGAAGTCACTGCCCTATCAATCAAAACAAAGACTTAACCACAAAAAGGAAATGCGTGTTAAACTTGACCTAAAAGAAAAGCGGAAAAATAACAAAAAATACGCTTGCTAGAAGCAGATTAATCCGGAAAGGGTCTAGAAAGACGAATCGAACCTTATCAGGGAACTTATAGAACAGTAGACTAAATCGGCGCCACTTATGACACTTCATACTACTTATTAGTGGGAGAAGGTTATTGGGTTTCGGGGACTTTTGTTTGTCTTATTTTGTCAAATCGAAATCTAATTGCGCACATGTATAGATCCTCTATGAGATGAAAATCACTCAGTCGCCATCTTCACACTCACTCATTTTGAGTGAGATTAAGTTGTGAGTGAGAGCTTTGAGCGGAGCTGTTATCATTCCGAGTGTAAGCTTCTGCAGCGGAGTCTGCGAGTCGTTTGGTTCTAGTACATCTGGTCAAATGAAAGGAGGACCAAATAACACAGCTCAGTTTGCATCGGACTCTGCAAAGAAACGGACGTGTGTGCAATCCGGTCAGGATAACTGAGATTTCAGGACTCAGAAGCGGCAAAAACTCAAACATTTTCGCAAAAGAAAAATTTTCGTAAATCCAGTGACTAAATTCTTCGAGTTTAAAAGTAATTTTTAAATAAAACTAAAATTTAATAATATAAAAATATATTAAATTAATTATTAAAGAATAATAAAAAAAAATAATAATAATTAAACAGCTGTTTGTGGGCCAGCAAAAATCAATGGCAAGGCCAAATAGGCCGACAGACTGAAAACAGTTTGTTGGCGTCTCTTTGGCGGTAACATCAAAAGGCATCAAAGCAACAGAACCAACAGCAGCTTTTCCCCCCAAAAAACGGAAGCTTTTCCGCAGTGCCGATGTGTGCGTCTGTGTGCGCGCTTTTCCTTTTCCGTTTTTTGTGTTTTTTTCACGCTTCTGCGCGCCACTTTTTATTACATTTTCGTTTAAGCCACTTGCCCTCTCTTTTATTTTGTTTTCGGGGCAGAAAATACATCTCTTATGAACGCTCTTTACGGGCTGGTATAATTCTGCTCTGATTTAGCCAAGATTTGGTCTTTGTTTTGCATTGGATTGCATGAACTTGACACCGAATGCAAGCCAAAGGACCACAGACTTGCCACCTAAGAAGCACTTTGAATTACGGCCCCAAATGAATCATATTAAATCATCACACACTTTTCCTGCTAGTTAATCCGTTATAATTTTTATTTATATTTATTAATTTTCATTTAAAATTCACTGTTGTGTGTGTGGGAGTTTGTGAGCGTCATAATTCCTGCCGTCGCCATGTCAAAGTACAAAATTGCAATTAAATGTAAACACTCAACACGGCTTAACGTAACTCGAATGAAAAGTTGAAAAAATGTTTCAAGCGGGGATTATGTGAAGTTCTGATAAAGCGACCACATTAATAATTATTCAACAAAAATCAGACAAGCAGACATGGAAAAAGTGGCTTAATTAAAGCGTTAAATGCCCGGGAAATGTGAAAACTGAACAAGCAATAAGAACAAAACATGAAATATAATTAAATATTTTACGAAACGAAAGCAGCAGCATATTTAAATGCAAAAACTAAAGATAGGATGTGCAAATATTTAGTCGCAAAGTTCAGAACCATTATTTTATATAATTCAAGTATTTAATTAAAGAAAATAATAATAAAATAGAGAAATAACAAAAATTGTTAAATTTGCGCAAAAAAAATACAGAACAATTGCGGCTTAATGAATATTGACAAACTGAATAATAGACAAATTAACCAGGAAAACAGAGTGAAATATTTATAAATATATAAACTAATAAAAAATAATAAAATTCACATTAAACAAATTTACGATTTTCCGACATACATTTTGTAAATATTTCATTATGCGAAAAACTGTTGCCTACTTTGAAGCTACTGCCAGTTTTGATGTTTCCGGTTGCCATTTTTGCTGGCCGACCGACCACTTGACTGCCATTTAAAATAATTATGATTACACGCTCGCTAACAGGGAGCCCAGTGCAAACATTCGCGTGGAACAACAAACCCGAATAAACGGCAGTTTAATTTAATAATTCAGCGGAGCACTTAGGCAAGAACATTATCACCGTATAGCCTACAGTAGAGCCTCCGAAAGAACCAACATGGGACCAATACGCAGCATCCTGGGCTGCTTCTTTCTGCTGCTCATCATCGGATTAGCGCCACAACAGGCTTCCAGTGCCAATGAATGGGGTATGAATAGGGGAAATCGGTTATGGTTGTGGGAAGATAATACCCGTAAATCTTATTAACAATCAGATTAAGATAGCGAAAACGTTTAGTTTTCTCTTTTTTTTACTATTTTATATAAATGTAAGTTATTCTTTAAAAAATATTCTATAATAACATTAAACTAGGTCTTAATTTTGAGTCCAACCTGATTTCGAAATGTTTTTTTCAAGAAATAAGATTATAATATATTTTTGCATTCCTATCAGTTGTTAGACATTCCGTCAAATAAGGAAATTAACAAATAGACAAAAGGTCAGTCAAAACATGATAAGTCTGGGTTTTTCTGGTTGTGAAATGTTAATGTCGTTTGTGAATAATCCCGATACTATATATATATACTTCCAATGAAACTGGAAAAACATCCAATCGGGATGTGTTTGGTCAAAGTTTTTTCGATAACAAAGCCCGCTTCAAGTGATTTTCAATTAACTGTAACTGCTACTGTCTGTACGGCGTAATCGTTGAGTGGGTGTAATCTTTTATGCCTGGGCGTGGTGCGGGAAGTGGGCGGAAATCGATTCCAATTCTTCGGAATGAGACCGTAGAGAGATGACAAAAAAAATGTCTAAGAAGTCAGTAAATAAATAAATAACTTATAGGCAACTAAACTGAGGATGGCCATTAACAACAGGGCTGATCCAAGGCATTAGAGGAGCGCGTTAAGTGCCCTGTTCTCATACGCCACGTTGCCCCACTTCGCCATATTACCCATACGCCGCGTAAAGAGCTAGAGAGAGCAAGACCAAGGACAGAAGACAGCGAAGATGCTCGCCGACTTTTAAGCAGCTCTTACACAATGTGCCATGGCTGCCATACATATTGGTCATGGGTGCTCGCTAGTGCTCGATATCGAGGGCATAAATATTCATACAGCACGGCATTTGGAAAAAATCAGACAGCTGATAAGCCTGCCACCCACTCAAGGAAAAATTCAAAAAGAAAAAATGAGAAGAGTGAGAAGCTGAATCCCCTATATACATATATGTGCCTCGACTGCGGGTCTAAGATAACTTCAGTCACACATCCTTGGCCTTGTTCCGTGCTACCAAATCCTTGTCCTTTCCCAAAAAGCCATAAATTATGTATTCCGCACATTTTTAAGCGCAGCAATCCATCGAATTGGCTCTATCCTAAGTTGGCCAAGGAATCCATCGAAATTGGTATTACTTTTCGAATATTTCACGGCTCCGGCTCTTCTCTTTCCCATTTTCGCGTTTCAATTTGTTTGCTTGGCTTTCCTCAAAACAAGTTTATTTAACATATAAATTGGCAAACATTTAAACTGCGATTCCAAGGGTATTTATTGCACTGACCGAATATTCAGCAACAGTTGTTAGAAACCATATGAAACATGAAACTTTGACTCATTAGAGCGACTCTCAGTGTCTGTTCAGCGAATGATTTATGATGCCCGACATTGTCTCATGCTCGCAGGACGAAAAAAAAACGAAAAACAAACCTTTAGCTGCCCCATTTGCCTGCTCTTTTTTTATATTGAAATACTTGAGGCGGAGTACAACTTCAATAAAGTGGAAAAAGGTGCCATAAACAACAAGCGGCGAGCCTTTTTTTACGACACAACCCGCTGTGTACGGAAGAAGATACTTCTCTAAACAAAGGCACAAAATAAATAAATAAAAAGCAAGGAGGTTGGAGGGCGGTAGGAGAGAAAAACAATTGTAAACAGTGAAAAAGGAAAATCCCCTTAACTGTGGCACAATTTTTTCATTTATTTATTGAGACGAGACAGGAAGACCGAAAAGGGGCAGTAGGAGACGAGGGTCAGGTGGAGTGAGTCAGTCAGTCGAGCTAAAGTGAAATTCACTTTCGCATTTTTCTTATTTTCCTCCTGTTTTTCATTTTTTTTTTCTTTGCTTTCCGCCGTTTAAATGAATCGGACAATTCAATTTATGCTCTGGCAGACAGACAAACTTCATTAGGACATCTTCCCAAACCCCCAAGTTCTGCCCCAGGAATCAATACAAATATTTCGTTTTATATCTTTTCTTTTCTTTAGTTTCGTTTTCTATGAACGTGAATATTAGATTTGAAAAAATATAGAAGTTATCACAAACTTAAACCGCCTTAATCCTTACATTAATATTAACAAAATACATTTGCAATATGGGGCATGGCAGGCGGTAAAGAGGATATTGGAAAACGGCAAATATCAAAAAACTTTTAATGCGCCAAATCGATGAATGACCGCAAAAACTTTTCCACCCATTTCCCTTGGACACTTCCCAAGTACAAGGCAACTTTTTCTATCACCAAGCTTTCGGCCTGTAAATGAGCTTGGGGACTGTTGTTGTCCTGGAAAGTGGAGAGAATCTCCTGCATTGTTACCCGGAAAACTTTTCCCAACGTTTGGTTAGTTCTCGGTGTCTCAGTGTATGGAAAGTTTTCGATGTATTTGCTTTGGCTTAAGTCGGCTGACTTTCTCACTTCTGTTGCCGCCAGTTGGGAACCTCAATTTGTGATCACTCCCCTTCCCCTGCCTTCTTCACCACACGTTCGTCCTCGAATCAAAGTGTTGCACTGGAGTTTAATAAATATTTGTGAGAAGTCAGATAGACGTCGACTTTGGCGACCAGGTGTGCCATTCATTATCGCCGAAGGTGTCGTCAGATTTTCACCCCCTCGCAGGCAGCAAAAGCACTTTAAATGAATTGCATAATCTGTGAGGGGGCGTTTTGCCACTTCCCCACCTGGGCTAAAGGGAATTAAGAGGCTGTCTGGCAGGAACACCCACTCGTAACAGCCCGCAAAAACCCACCATACCTTGGGCCCCACGTTGTCGCGACGCGGCAGACTGTAAATAATGAAGTTTGCATCTGGGTGGCAAGTGGCAAAGCAGCTGCGAAAAGTGCTTTTAGGCACAGGAACAAAAACTGCATATATTTATTTAGATATATATATAAATGGAGTTCGCCAAAGATCAACGTCGAGATTTGGTAGCATAAATTTTTGGCCAAAAAACTGGCCATTTTGGTTGCATAAAAATTCGATTTTTTAAGCAACGATTTAAGAGACAAATTTCTAAATGAAATAGGAAATTTGTCAATGTTTTTGGTTACTTTCTCAAGTATTATTTATCTTTATATATTTTACATATATATATCATCTATTTTCTTCACGTGTAATAAAGAAAAACAAATTGCTTGTGAGAAATGTCTGTTTCTGCGTTAGACCAGGATAATGTCCTTAATTTTGTGTGTAATTTTCTGCTGATGACAGACTATTTATGCTTCAATAAATAAATCTTTAATATACATGTATAGAAGAAGCTTAAACTACTGAAGATAAATTCGGAAGTTTTTTACAATTAACATAATTTATATATTTTATGGTTTTCTTTTGACTTTCGCAAAAGCTTTCCTTCAATAAGACTAGACTAAATCAACCCAAAAGCAGACTTTATCCCCCGCCAGAAACTCCCGAGCAATTTATACCCCTTATCCAGCTCTTTTTAATGTTTCCTTTTTTTTTCTGAGCGCTAAATGCCGCTGTCTAGGTAAATACATCCCCGAACGTTTCGCCATTCCAGCTCTAAGAGTTTCCATTTCCCAATTTCCCGGGTCCCGCCAAACGCAAAACGCAGGACGTGATGCGCATTTTTCGCACTGCGGCGGCTGTGTGTCTGAGTCCCCTAGGTTTTGGCATCCACTTTGGGTCTGGTTTTTCGGTTTGGGGTTTGGATTTTGAGGGGGTTTGGTGTTAACGGGGACTACAGTTTGTGCCGGAGTTCGGGACTGCCACAAAAGTTGGGCTTAAGTTTATTGCAAACGACTCCCGGGCCTGGTGGGTTGCAAACTTCTCTCAGCGCAGCAGTCAAGGATCCCCTTAAAGTCATGTTCAACCAAATGCAGATGTCATTCAAAGGAATTCGTTTGAATTAAGCGCCCAATTGTCGACACTCTTGTAGGAGCTTACAAAAGGTGCAACATTTGGGAAACGCATTGGGGAAAATGCATCAGTCTGAATATTAAGGGAATAATATATATGAAGACTATCTTGCGACGGAGTAGGAAGTTAATTGGTGTGACTACTTTTGAAATTAAAAAGTAACTAAATTAAAAATAAATCATTTTCGCTATGTATTTCATATGACAGGAAAGCAAGCTACCGTTTTGCTATTCCACATTTAAACCACCTTTAAATTTCCAGATTATTGCCACTTTAAATAAGTTGAATAAAATCCTTGTCTTTTAATAAATATATTTTCCCAACAGTAGCTACCATTAGATTCTGCTGTCAATTGTTTAACGAGCAAAAGCTAACTTCATCAGGAATTCCTATTATCTTTTAATTGCATTGCCATCAGTCAGTCAGGCAAGACAAATTGATATCCTTCGAGCAGAGCATCCTGAAATATTTGTAATATGTGTTGGCCCTTTAAAGAGACTTTCTTCTGGTCCATCTAAACGAGAAAAGTCATAAAATAAAATAAGCATAAAATGGCACAAAAACTATTGCCACTAAAGCATAAAACAAAAGCTAAAGCGGAAGCCGCAGGAACATAAAAATCACATTTATTTTTGACACACTTAACCATTCGAGCATTAAAAGTTTCAAAGCCAAGCTGGTGTGTGCATATATATATATATATGGAAATGGGAATATTCTATCGAAGCCATTATCTCCAGCAGTTATGTAAAATTGATTTCAAACATTTACCCTTGCAGAATCGACTTGCAGCGAGGACCAATTCCGCTGTGGCAACGGAAAATGCATTCCGGGGCGATGGGTCTGCGATCGGGAGAATGACTGTGCCGATGGAAGCGACGAATCGGAGTCCAAGTGCCGTAAGTGTTAGACATTATATTTGATATAAGCAGTAGATATTGGCTATAAGCGATTGCTAAAGTAATTCAAACGCTGTTAAATCGATTTTGAATGGTAATTTCGGATTTAAGATCTGTGCGGGTAGAAATCATATATTTTTAAAAAAATTAAAAATCAAAAGTAGCTTTAACCTTTAATAATATGAAAATGTGATAATACAGGGAGTCGTTGCTCCTCTGATATGATGATGTGCCACAATGGTGAGCAATGTATACACCGGGAATTCATCTGTGATCTTGACGATGATTGCCGCGATGGATCTGACGAGCTGAATTGTCGCAGTAAGCGAAAAGGAAGCGAATTCCTTTCATTCCTTCAAACATTTGCATACTAACTGGAGGATTTGTCCATTACTAAAAACGAGAGGAAAGAGCAAAGTCACTTAATCGAAATTTAAATACATGCCCCATGAGAGACTGCAGAGGGAGAAAGAGATGCCAACATAAAAAAGTGACTTTATGACTTGCCAGGGACTGACCAGGCCATAAATTAATGTCACTCCTTGAGGACAGTATCGTGATGTGACCATCGGCGGAACTAATTTATATTTATGCATTAGGCTCACTTCTCTTTATTTCTGGGCGTAGTTTCCCGCTTTTCCGCTTTTCACTTTATTCCTCGCCATTTTTCTTACACAGTAACTTGTTTAGTGGTTTATTGTCTGTGACACAATTTCCCAACTATATAAAGAAAAAAATAAAAACCAGAGACAGAGAGAGAGAGAGAGAGAGAGAGAGAGTGCCTGGCGAAGGAGAAGAGCGAAAATGTTTTTATGTTGGACGGAATTTCAGCGCTGTAATTGAAAAAATGATGCTATTTTTATGATGTTATCCTTGATGAAAATAAAAACCGGTAATCAAAAAGCGAACGCAGCTCCAAATTGAGCCTGTGGTTTATACGCTGGGACTGATGGCTCAGTGGTTGGCTACCAGGAGGCCAGGACCTACAGTTGTGCTCACAATATTAGAAGCTTTGTTAAGGAAATAATATTTAGTATTTCTTAACAAAATTTAAACTCAATATGTTAAGGAATTCTTATGATAATAGGTTTTCTAGTTTTCATATGCTGTTTTTGTTTTTCTCATTTGCGGAAGTGGAAGCTCTGCCTTCCTCCCATTCCTACTCTATCAGTATATTGTTTTCTCTATAAGTTACACACAAGATTTGTTTTCTATTTCGAGCATACTCTTTATCTTTTTTACTAAGGAATACTCAGTAGTACCATACAAAACAATGCCATACTATTCTGTTGATTACAGCTGTTCGCTGAGTGAGCATAAACCTACGTCTGCCCATGTGAATGGATATGTGTGTGTCTTTTTATGACTTTTATGTGCTTTAAAATCGTCATCAAACCTTGTTGACATTTCTGCTTTTACCCGGTTACCCTTGTGAATCTTAATTTAACTTGGTTTATTTCGGGCACTGCAAGGATTACAGTGTTCTCCCTTTAAAACGGCTATTTGCCGTTATAGTCCCCGCCCCGTTATTTAATTCCATTTAACACTCCACTCGGACTCTTCATATCTTTGTTTACCATTATGGGGAAAACTTGGCGTTCCCCCCCGTCGAACAAAAGGAGCCAAGGGGAAGCAGAGAGAGGGAGAAACTGAACAATAAACAAAACGCAAACTGCCCCACAAAAGGCATTAAGCTTCATTGGCTTTCAAGTGCCGGGTGGGACTGAAGGCCGAGGCGGAAACGGAGGCGGGCGTGGCTGCTGCACTCGACCAGGACATGTCTTGTACATGGTCTAAAAAGCATTTTAAATAAAATTAAAATCAAATTGCAAGTATATGAGGTTTGGCGTCAGATAACAAGAAAATGCTATTGAATACAATGCCCAAGTTCGGTAAGGATGTGTGTGCGAGTGTGTGTGTGTGCGAGGAAGGACCCTCCTTCCGTTGGTCCGTTGACTGTGACCCCACGATAGCAAATTGATTCTGCCAGGACTCACAAAAGACGAAGCCGAGAAGTAAGCTGAGTCCCCATGGACGCACGAGAACTGAAACGTCCATTCAGCCAAGTAGTTACCTTCGAATGGATAAAAATGGAAAGTTTTATATATGTTACACACACACACACACTCATATATCTATATAAAAATATATAAAAAGCCCCTGGTGAATGTTTTCTCTGGCCAACGATGGAGAATTTAATGAAGCCATAAATTATGGTTGGCAAAATGATATTGGATAATTGAATATATGTATATATATGAGGTGCATGGGGGAAAACGAAATAATCGAAAAGTATTTTCAACTGCATATGAATGATGCTTAACAGAAAATGATTTCAATGTTCGAGTTGCCTTTTAATTATGGAAAATGAGTGAAAAGAGGGCTAACATGCCCAATGATAGGGGAAGTCTATAACCAAAATATATTTCAATGCAAATCCAAAAAGAGTAACTTAATTGCTAATCTAAAACTGCTTTGTTTAGGATTATGATTTTATTTATTTGAAATTCTACCAGCTTAACCACAACAAGCTTAGCTATCAAGAATATATTCCTAGTCAAAAGCTTGCAAAAATGGTATTTATTTAACAGAAGCAATTTATAAACAAACAAATAAAAAAAACATAATTTAAACAAATTTTGGGAATATTTTCGGTGGCATCCTGGCAATTTCTGTAAATATTCAGCAGGCAAACGAGAAATAAATTCAGTAAGCTGGTCACAGTAAATTCCAATTAAAGGCGTATCACGCATACGACGCGTTGTACATGCTAAGCAACCGCCAAAAATGGCGAATGCCAAGAAGAGAATAATAATAAATTAATTTATTTGCAACGATGTCAGAAATTTCCGCCGTACGCCGTACGCTATGCACGTGTAAACGGTAAACAAATAGACAGGATGCCCAAGACCAATGACAAAGGAAGGAGGGGGCAGGAAGAGGTAGACAAAACGCCAAAAAGCATATTCAAATGTGTGGCTCAACCATAAGATTTTATTGCTAACACACACACACACCCACGCAGGAACAGCGGGGTTGTATGTACATAATCATATCAGCGAAAATCACACACAGAAACACACCCACGCAGGCACACAGCGTGAGACAAAGGACCATGCGGTAGGCAATGAAAGAGTGAAAGAAAGAAAGCAAACGAAAGAAAGCACGAAAGCGAGGCACGAAGAACTGGCATACTAATAAGCATTAAGGGTTAAACACAAGCGTTTTAATGTGCCAGCGTGTGTGTTCTATATGCATGTTAGTGTATGTGTATGCGTATGTGTATGTGGGAGTGTTGTCAGCTTTGTTTAATGTCCGCTCCTTTGGCAAGGATAACTTCAATGGAAGTTCCAGCGTGCGAGTGTCTGCGATAATTGCTTTAATGCATACGCATGTGTGCGTTTTAACTTTATGGAGTGTTGTCTGATAATGTCTTAATTACTGCCTAGATAAAATGCCAACTGTTTAGCCCCCGAATGGTTGTGACTGTGTGAGTGTGCCTGTGTGTGTTGGTATGACAACTATGTTTATCACTTGGAGAACGGTTGCTGCCCCGCCCCCTTTTATATGGCAGCTGCTTATAAACTTAATTACAGGACAGCCCTCGGTTGCCTAGTTTAAGGCGCGTTTCCTATCTCAGCAAGACAAAATCCCATTAGCCAGACAGTTAGTGGGTTTTTCCAGGGGTCCTTTATGATTATGGCCTTGAAGACGGTACACTGGATTTTGTTAGATTTTTTCTGGAAATGAAAATTATTGTCAAAGAAAAATATAAAATAATAATGATATTTAATAATAATATAGTGTTTTACAAATTTAAAAGCAAATTTGATTTTTCGAAATTATCTTTTTCTACATAAAATATTTTTCAGAAAATTGGCATTTGAATCAAAAAGTAACCAAATCTGTTTTTTTAAGGAACCCCAACATGTTCGCCCGAGCAGTTTGCCTGCAAGTCGGGCGGGGGCGAATGCATTCCCTTGTCCTGGATGTGCGATCAGAGCAAGGATTGTCGCGATGGAAGCGATGAGGCGATGTGCAGTAAGCCAAAAACCGAATATATTTCTTAGCTTGCTTTTGCACTTTGCTTACGTGTTGGTTGCAATAATAACCGAATTTATCTTAGATTTTTTCACTGCTTTTGTTTTGGTGTTGGTTTGGTATTTTTTTCCTATATGCTATAGTGTACTACACACCCCCTGCACTCGACTGTGTCATGCACACATTTCCCGAAGACTTGTGTGTAATGCCATGCTGAAACTCGTATGCAATAAAGCTCAAATATTTACGCACACACAGACACACAAATGGGATGCAGAGGGAACACTTTAGTTTGTTGTGTTTGCCCTGTTTCTGTTGTTGTCACTTTCACATCTCTACCATTTCCTATATGCATTCTTTGTTTGTTGGTAATTTTTGTAATGGTGTTGGCTTTTTCCCTTTTTCCTAACTTGACCAAGCACATTTTCCCGCCTCAAAGCGTTGTCCTTTGTGGTTAAGGCATTTCCTCATCCCATCTACACATATACACACACTAATCACCAAATCCTCCCACTTCATATATTCCTTGAAAGAAGAAAGCTAATTATTGAAATTATCTTGGTGCAGATAGGACGTGTCGCTCGGATGAGTTTGCCTGCGGCAACGGACGTTGCATTCAAAATCGCTTTAAGTGCGACGAGGACGATGATTGCGGCAATATGATGGATGAAATGAACTGCAATGAAAAGCCAAAATGTGATCCCAATTCCTTTACTTGCCCCGGTGGCAACTGCATTCCCTTGGAATGGGTCTGCGACGGGGACAACGACTGCCCGCATGGAGAGGATGAGAAGGTGAGTTCAAAACAAAATTAAATTATTCGAAAATGGGATATACACTTTTGGATATAACTTTAGTATTGCTATAATATGACATTTAATGTTAGTTTAAATAAATAAAGTTAGTAAGAAATATTTGTTTTCTCAATGTAAGAGCTCACGAAATCGTTTCCCTTACCTTCAACTTGCAATGAAAATTGATATGAACACATTATCAAACCACACACACATACACACACACACACATGGAGATTTGTTTAACAGCCCTCGCATATAAATATGTATTTATATGGAAGGAGCTAGGAAGCATAAATTATGCAAGACGCGAGCATTATTCAAAACTGGCAACGACGACGAGGACCATGTCGGCAACTGTTTCCCATAAACATTTATATGTATGACGCATGGCTTTTGTTGTCAGAAGGGTGGTGCCCGAAATTGCACGCCACCGAATAGCAATAAAAACAGAACGGAAAACTATTCAAATACAAGGTTTAGTAAATACCCTTTAAGACATTTATGTTTTTGGATTTTTTGCATTTTGTAGATATGTATTTTTGCTATATATGATATTTTATATTTCTTTAAAAAGTGTAAATATAAAACTGAAATAGAAATTATAAATATATAGACACATTAGTCTGCGATACTCTTTTCCGCAAAGCGTATAAAATGTAGAAAATGCTTTCTGGCATCTCCTAAAAGTATGCAACACAAAAAATGCAGGCAGTGGCCACAGGGACCTGTACATACATATACATGCATATGTATATGGATATGTGCTGGTGCATAGGGGCTTGGGTACATGTATGTGTGTATGTTTGTGAACCGGGCTTAGCTGCCTGAATATTTGGTTGGCACTTAACAAGAAAAGCAAACTGTTGTAGCAGCAGTAAAGTTAACTTCCTTTATCCTCGCCTCGCGTACAGATTCATCTTTCAAGGGAATGCCTGTTTAAAGGGCGACCTTATCAAAAATGTAGTACTAAACATTGTTTTGTTATTTAGACGACAACACTATGTAATTAACATCCATCTCTTTTCTTTACCATTAAATAGCAAAACTGCACCATCACCCCAACGCTTAACTTCTGCAGCAGGGACGAGTTTCAGTGTTCGGATCATATCACTTGCCTGCTTAAGCAATGGGTTTGCGATGGCGAGGAAGACTGTCCGGATGGAGAGGATGAGTCGCCAACACGTTGCGGGAAGCCAGCGTGTCGTCCGGATCAGTTCCAGTGCGATGATCGCAGCTGCATCGCCGGTCACTTGACCTGTAACGGGGAAAAGAACTGTGCAGATGGCAGCGACGAGAGGAAGTGTAACATCAGTGCGCCAGTGAAGATTTGCAATGCGACGAACGAATTCGATTGCGGCGGTGGTCAGTGTATCCCGATTGGCAAGGTCTGTGACCGTAGGAAAGACTGTCCGAATGGCGAGGATGAGCCGGCAGGAAAGTGTAACATTAACGAGTGTGCCACCAAGAATGGCGGCTGCATGCACAAATGTGTGAATCAGGAGGTGGGCTACCGATGCGAATGCCACGATGGCTACAAATTGGCCGCTGATAACCACACTTGTGTGGACATCGATGAGTGTGAGACTCCTGGTATTTGTTCTCAGGTGTGCGTCAACGAGATTGGAGCCTTCAAGTGCGAGTGCGAGGCGGGCTACATGAGAGTACTGAAAAATCACACCAGATGCAAGGCCAGTGAAGGTCATGCCTCCCTGCTCTTGGCCAGGCGCCATGATATCCGGAAAATAGCACTCGATCGTCCGGAAATGACATCCATTGTTAATAGTACAAAATCAGCCACTGCATTGGACTTTGTCTTCCGCACCGGTATGATCTTCTGGAGCGATGTTACCACGCAGAGTATCTACAAGGCTCCCATTGATGAGGGTAATGAGAGAACTGTGGTGCTGACTAAATCCTCCGTGACCTCCGATGGCCTGGCTGTAGACTGGATCTACAACCATGTCTACTATACGGACACAGTCAAGTGCACTATTGAACTGACCAACTTCGAGGGCAGCATGGGCAAGGTCCTAGTGGAGGATTCACTGGACATTCCCCGTTCTATTGCCTTAGACCCCATCGACGGTTGGATGTACTGGTCCGACTGGGGGGCATCCCCTCGCATTGAAAGGGCGGGAATGGATGGCTCCCAACGCACTGCCATTATCACCTATGATGTCAAGTGGCCAAATGGCATCACTTTGGATTTGGTTCATAAACGCCTCTACTGGGTGGACGGCAAACTAAACTCCATTTCGTCGTCCAATTACGATGGATCACAAAGGCGGAATGTTCTTTCCTCCCATGAATACCTGAAACATCCCTTCTCCATCACCACCTTTGAGGATAGCGTCTACTGGACCGACTGGGATAAGCAGGCCGTCTTCAAGGCCAACAAGTTCAACGGGGCGGATGTGGAACCCGTGACAGCAATGCATATGGTGAGTGTTCTTATCAATTCATTTAAATTTAACACGAAGCAAAGCAAACTTATTTCGACGGAAATATAAAAAAAATAATTAGATAGAACGGAAACTGACAGTTCTCTGAGAAATTGTAAATCACTTTTTTAAATGGAATGTCGTTTTGATAAATGTGGCTTTTTTGAATGTGTAATCTTGTTGGTACCAAGACGTTACTGTACGATACATAAATATTCATTTTTAGTCAGAAATCAAACTCAGAATATTAATTTGATAATTCAGCTGGTCATAGCAAGACTCCGCTAATTCCCACGATTTCTGCTTTCAGTTGGAACACCCCATGGTTGTGCACGTTTACCATCCGTATCGCCAACCAGACGGTGTCAACCACTGTCAGTCGGTGAATGGCCACTGCTCGCATCTGTGCCTGCCAGCCCCCAGGATTAACGAACGGAGTCCACGCATATCCTGCGCCTGTCCAACGGGCCTGAAACTGATGCCCGATGGCCTCATGTGTGTCGAAGATCGTAAGTAGATTTCACTTTGTTCTCTTTGGGGGAATTTTACGGGGAGATTTCGTAATTGCATTTGAACCGGTCAGTTTCAATGGCCACGATGGCGTTTTGCGGTTCATCTGACCAACGGCTGGATAACCCACAAGCGTGGAGATACAGTATACAGAGCCTGACTGCCTGTTGCGGTTGCGGCCTTTTAAGTGGCCCACTGCACTGCGCTTTTCATTGGATTGCATTTTCACCTTTTCGGATTTCATTATATCTATAAAATTACCCTTTGTTTGTAGTGCGCCTCCCAAGAGTGCAGCCCACTGCACCGATCCATCGGACAACTGACCAGTCGTCCATCTCAACCACAAGACTACCTCAAGATGCGCACAGTGAAGCGCCGGGTATGCGACACTTTTCTACTACAAACTTATGGTGGTGGTTGTCTAGGGTTAAGTTGGGATTGCAAATCATCTCTAATTTTCATTGAACTTTTCTTTCTTAGCTTTGTATCTGTCTCATATTTATGTCCTTGAGAGCATCTTTCACACCTGCTTTTCACGACGTTTTAATTTCGTCTGACAATTTCTTGAGAAACATTTACGCGTACATATATAGGCCATCATCGTCATCATCATAAATCAACATCAATGATATCGACGTAATCACTCAAAATGCACACGCCAAAACACACACACAAGTACACACGAACTTTGGCCCAAATACTCATGCAAAATGCGGAGCGTAAAACATAAATATCGGGTTCACACACACAGTGCAAAAACCACAAAAGGGAAGCATTGGTGACATGTTTAATGGCAACAGGACCCACCCAGATTCCCAGATCCAGCACTTTGCCTGGGTACGGAACCACGGACTGCGGACTACAAAGTCCCAGTATCCCGAAGCCCGGGTGAATTTCTCTCCGTGCAATTTGCGAACTGCTCTGTGACAGAGTGACATGGATTCGGATGGGAACGGAATGATGAACGACTGACAACCACAACGGCAGCAGGAACATTTCAGCGGCAGTCGTCAACAAATCGCCATGAAATTAAATTGTACATAAGCAACAGCAACAGAAACACCAATACATGCGGAGTGATATGGGGCATGGCAAATAGTTTAACCAGAAATTCGTCATAGCCGGTGCTATCATCATCATCGTCATGATCCTCTCCAGCAAATTGGCACTGTCAACACCTCGAACTGTCGACGTTTTTGGGTGGCGAAATATTTGCTTTGGCCATGGTGTAGCAAAAGTGAATTACAGCCCATCTAGCCATCAGTTTATCCCTAAAAATATGTTCAACCACGAAGCCCATTTCGATGTCTATGTATGTGTCTTCTGTGTTCAATGTTGTTACTATTGATTTAAATTAGAAATTTTGGGTGCCTCGCCTAAATGCCATATCATTATTTTTAATAAACCCACACATTTAGCCAACGCACTTTGATCAATGGGAATGCCAAATTCAGCAGCCCTCGAATATTAAAAACAAGAAAGATATTTTGCTGTGGCAACCGAATTCGTGACGGCTTTTTTTCATGGAATAAATAAGGCCAATAAAGGGTATTTTATTTGGTTCCTTGGGCAACAAAAAAAAAAAACGAACTTGAATTGTTAACGAGAAGAAAAACGCGTTGCCTTTACACATTTTTTATTTGATGAGCATTGGGCTCAGTCTGAAAATTTGCAGACAATATCTAAAAGAAAGAATTCCTTTTCAGTGGAAAAATTTTTCAATGCAATAAATTCCTTGAAATTATTTAAAACGCTTAGAAAAGAACTCCTGATAATATGCAATTAGAGTAGCAAATTAGCAACCTACACAAGATGTAAAATAAATCCCATACTTTCTGAGACTTTCCTCTTTTTTTTTTTAAGTCTCAGCCATTGCCAGTCGTTATCCTCTTTCGTTGTCCTGCCGGCTTAGAAGTGAAAAGTGGGCAAACTTCCGGGAGCTTTAAAACGTTGTCATGCCTACGGGGATGAAATCAAGTTTCCTGGAAGAGCTTAGCTAGAAGCCCACACAATTGCGCCTAATTACGCCAATTTAAAGAAGTCATAGTGGCGGCGTAGTTGGCAGACCAAGGCCGGAGAGGGGTCGAAGGTCGAGGATTGTAGAAGAAAAAGCTGCAACACATTTGCGGGCCAAAGAATGACGACAACGAGGACTTAAGCAAAGTGCCAGGACAGAACAGACGAGGACGAAGTTTGCAGAGGCGCGGGTACGGGTCAGTAAATAACTATAAACTAGTTAGGGACTATTTCAATTAGATGGTCCAGCCCAGCATAACTGCAATTTCAATTAGCGGTTTGTGCTACTTTTTCTATGGCCATCTTTGCCCACTTCAAATTGCTTAATTAAGCGCAGGCAAAGTTTCGCAAATACCCCGAGAGAGAGAGAGAAAAGACGGGAGAGACACACATACAGTCACAGAGGGCAGCGAAATGGCGGGGCCAAATCCAGATGGACAGACCCCTCCCGTAACCATAAGCTTTGAGCCGTCGAAGTAACGACTGCGTTTTTAATAGCCAACCACATAAAATGGGGCTTAGGGTAGAGAAGCGAGGAAAAGGCGGGGAAAACTGGGTGAACAGCTGCCGCTGCTCCTTGCAGCATTTTATGACTTTCATTTGCCTGCACTTCGGTCACTCCGGCAATTGTTATTGTCCGCCTCTAACTTTACTGCATATTGCCTCCAATGTGAAGACAATACCAACAACAGCAACTACAATGGAGGTCAACAATATTAGAAACTTGGCAGCAAAGCCGCCATTTTGTTTATTTGCATTTGCCACATCATTTTTTCCTTACGTTTTTGCTAAAACTTTTAAACTTTTTTTACGCTTTATCTAATCTGTTTACATCTTCTCGACGAAAAACCCCAAAACAGGTGACGGAACATATTTTATGCGTTTTTATTTCATTTGGGAAGGAAATTTGTGGCACGGCAGCCATTTTGTCGTACTTTTTATGGCACTTCCGTTGGCAGGGGGTAGCAAAGGTGGAGAGGGGCAGATCCGGGCACCTGCTATGCTATGCTTTATCCTGAGTTGGAGTTTCGAAATAAATATGAGAGCACATGTGCAGGATTATACAAATGGGCGATGAGGCATAACTCTCTGTTATATGTCTGAATGTTTTTTGCTGTATGTGTGTGTGTTTGGTTGTGTGTGTGTTAGTAGCACGGAAATTGCATTTTGTATAGATTAGAAGTGCGCAATAATATATGACATTTATAGGCAAGCATACAGCCAGTAGGTAGTGAAGTGCCACATGCCGAAGAGCAAAAGCAAATTCAAATAAATTAATCTCTTCAAAATGGGTCAAAACTGTAAAGAATTTCTAGTTTTTAGCTATGTATTTTCAGCATCAAGCATTTTAAATAAAGTATTGCAAAACATAAATAGAAATTATAACAAGAGGAATAGAAATGTCTGAGTAAATTCTAGCAAATCATGATTATCTCTAAGCTAATTCATGTATAAAGCTCTTTCATAAATATTTATAGTATTTTTTTAAGCTTAACTTGAAATGATAGCCAAAGTTCATTATTTAGCTGCCTAGAAAAAGTTTTGTAAAAATTACAAAGCAACAGCTGGTGGCAATTTCCCGAATCCTTCGCCTCGAAAAAAAATAAACAACCACACACTTAAACCGAAAAAGGAAAAGCCTGCAATTAATATGCCAGAAGAACGTGCAACTTTTCAGATGTTTGCCCCGGCATTTGACTGTCTGTTAATGCCGCCAAAATAAATTTGCAGCATCTTAACGCGCCTACGTCGAAAAAATCCAACCGAATCGATGCCGCACAGCTGTTGCCGCTATCAACTTTTAATGATAATTCCCTGCCACATGATCTGGAGGAAATCAAAAACTCCTCCTCCCCCTTTTTGTGACCACTCGTAGGGCAAAAATTAATAGCAACATCTGGATGAAAGTGGAGTGGGAATTATTTTGAAGTGTGGAGTGTGGGAATGGGTGAATCTAAAGGACTCGCGAGGCATATACTTTTGCCAGACGAACGCGCGCCTCCTGTGCGTTAACTTTGTGCGCTTTTTTCTGCTGTTGAACAAATTCTAAACGGAAAAATATGAAAACGAATTATGATGACAGCGGAAAAATCCTACAACTTCCTGCCAGGACAACAGCAAAAGGCACCGAATAAAAGCGCACACAGAAGCTGACAGCAAAACCAGGGAAACCCCAAAAGCGGAAATATTCGCCACGGGATGTAGTCGTCGTCGTCCTCGTCGTAGACGTCTTTTCTATTTTTTTCCCCCATTGCCAAGCTTCCAGAAAGACAACATTTTAATTATATTTGGCCATAGGAATTATGAAATTATGGGAAAACGCTGAAGAGAGCTCCGGCAGGCATATTTTATTAATATTTTGCAGGCTTTGCCTTTGATATTGGAATTTATGAAAATTACACAGAAGGTTTAATTTTTAAGCTTAAATTTGATTAATATAGAAATTGGTGGAAATGGTTTAAATTGATTTTGGAAAATTATCTCTAAAAGACTCATGGAACTTAATTTAATAAAAACTAAAATGGGTAGAAGGACTAATAACTTCTGGTGTAACTTCATTCTTCATCAAAAATGCTTGGATTTTAGTTTGTCATTTAGCTTAAATATTCTAATTTTTTCAAATTTTGTAATTTTCTTCCTAAATAGTTGAAGAAAAGACCCGCAGCAACAGCACAGACGCATCCAACCCGTCAGATAAATCTGCAGAAAATCAAGAAAAGGATTACGGCCTTATAGCCTTGATAGTGATAGTCAGTTTAACAAGCACAGCTCTCATAGCTTGCGTAAGTATTTTTTAGATTTTAAATTAATAAATATTAAACAAAAATATATATATGTAACAGGTAATCATTGTCACATACCGACGTTGCACGCGGGCCGTGAACTCAATGAACTTTGAGAATCCCGTCTACCACAAGACCACGGAGGATCACTTCAGTCTGGAGAAGAACGGAACGCCGCACATGTACTCCACTGCCATGGAGGAGGAGGTAAGCGGGTCGGCCCCACCGATGAGCACTAACCCTAACGACTTTAGCTATGTCAGATTCTAGGGTGTGTGTTCTGGCTAGGGTGTTAGCTAAGTTAGTGTTGTACATAGATGGTTAAGAGCTCGTATCATAGTTGTAACTAGGGCTAACATGATTCAAAGATAAGACTAGTTCTGTAAGTCATGAAATTGTTGTGAAAGTAGAAAGTTTTCAAGTTTTGAATCCTCTCTTTTGTCCAAAAATATATTTAATTTAACAAATGCCGCGAGCGAACGAAACCACGGTACCAATTTAGATATTAAAAACGGTAAGTTGTGGTTACAAAATCCATATTAGAACATTATTGGCATATTATATTACACAATTATTGTTGTTGTTTTGTGTGCACAATTTAATTATCATTTTATTGCTCTTTAATTTAATTTAATTTACCGTCGATTTGAGCATTCTGCGTGTTTACCCCTTTTTTTCGAAATGCGTGGCTCTTTGAATTGGCAGCCCGTGGGTCTCGCTAATTGCAGAGCTGCAAATGCAATCAAAATGTGCATATCAATTGGCCAATTAACTAAAATGCCAATTAAATGGCGTCACTGGAGCGTCAAAATGTCCCACATCTGCCCGACAGCCGCCCAACTCTAAAACATAAAGTTTCTCGCCTTGCCAGGACATTTTACTAAAAATATATATCAATTAAATTAGTGCTGTTTTTTTTTTTTTATTTTACCTTGACACTTTTTTATTGCAGCTGCTTTGTTGGCAGTTTTAATTAAAGTGGTTAATTAATACATAAAAAATAAGACAATTCCAAGCGGAAGCCGACAACAATGCATAACAATAATTACGCAAAATTTAACAAAACGGCATTAAGCGAGAGATTTTCTGTTGGCCTGCCATGGCAACCAATAAATAACATCATAATTTGCATATAAGCAACCAATTTCGCTTGCTGCAAATTCAGGCCACAAGCTTAGCGGTCGCCTGTTTTCATTAAGGTTTATAATTAAATATCCTTTCTGCGGAAAAGTGTTGTTGGCAAATCTCTTTTTTATTGCTATTTAGCTGTGATTATCATTTGGTGAAACATTTAAACGAAAAAGTTGTGATTGAAGCGAACTTTTTGTTGCTGAAATTGGGATTGAAATTGTTTTGAATTTATATTTACAGCTTTGATTATTATTTAAGAATTTTTGACATCTTGTTTATCTAAGTTGTATTTTATTTTAAGCAATTTGCACTTAAACTTTAACTAATATTATAATCTCTTTTCCTTAACTCCTTCTTAGTGCATAAGCCCTCTTGTTGAAAGCGGCACCAACTGTGTTTAAGGGAACGTCAGAGATCCAAGGATCAAATGCATATCCAGCAAATACTGGCCGGTAGACCGAGAACATCTACAAAAAAGCATCTCCTACTAGTAATTCCTTTTTGGACCAAGGCACCAAAAAACAAACTCAACTAAGAAAGTGAAAGTTCATTGGAAGAGAAATGCTGGGAAAATGAAACTTTCATTTAGCCGTAAGAGAAAAGAAGAAGAATGCCAAAAAGAAAATAGAAAAGACAAGAACGACAGCATCAGCATGGGGGAAAATGAAAATACTCAACAAATTCAATTTGTTGCCTAGTTTAAAATTTAATTTAAATGTAACAACACTAAACACACACCAACACATACATATATACACTGGCATATCGTAGAACACACACACTCACTCACACGCCCATAAACTAATAACAACGCAAACTTTTCTAGGCGCAACGTTTTGACATCAACTAGCGTGGCACCCAGACACACACAAACACATACATCAATGCATATCCTATCCACACCAATACACAAACAAGACACACACACGAACACACACAAGCCCAGAAGAACTCAGAGATGGAACGAGCCGGGATTCAGAGCCAAAAGTCCAACTTTCGTTTCACGTCCATGAAATCAATTGTAAAAAGTTAAGACATTTCGTTGAAGTTTTGGTACCAAAAGAAACATTTTGTGAAATCGAAAAATAGAGATAATAGCTTAACTGAAACTGTTTATAGACCTAACAATTATTGTGACTAGCTATAATATATATTTTTTGTTAACTTTAAATTAATAAACAAAAAAAGAAGTTATTATCTTGAAAGTAAAGTTTTTAGCACCAAGTTGGATTACTTTTTAGCAAAATATTTGAAAAAAAAGCTCTCTGTAAATACATAGAAAATAAAACTAAAAAAAAAAAAAAACTAAAAACGTTTAGAGAAAATTTACAAAAGAAATTAAGAAAAAGAATTTTAGAATGTTTAACCTTTTTGCTTCGCTCTGTTTTTTCCTTCTTGGGTATTCAAAACAATTTGCTGTGATCAGTTTAAAAGCATTAAACCTATCATTAAATCATCTTATTTGTAGTAAGTTTAATATTCTTCTCATTTATTTAGTGTGTAAACAAGCTTTCAAATATTTTAATTTATTTACAAATTTTTACACAATAAAACAACTTTACGTGTATTGGCAATTTTTGGTTCCTGTGAAATGTATTTTAATTTAGGCATGAAAAATATTTTTGCTTTAATGCTTTTTATAAAAAAAAAAACAAAACAAAATATTAGCTAACTCTAATTGGTATCTGTGAAAAGTTGAATAAAGAAATTAATGATAGTAAATAAAACAAATTAATAAAGAATATTGTAAATTAAAGTTTATTCAGAAAAATAAAATGGAATTTTAAAACATGGAAAATGTGTGTTAAATTAATTTGTGTTTTCAGTAATCTTAATATTGCAGATATATTGCTAATCCAAAGAAGCACGAAACTGTATCAGCATTGTGTTCTGAAGATTATAAATCAACTGGCTACGATTATCAATCAACTGCATGTGATTAGCTCATCTGAATTATCATTGCCATGATGATAGCCGCATCGAACATCAGACGAACAAGGCAATATCGTGAGGCAAATCGGGTTTACAAATTGTGCCTGATTGCCTCAACTTAATAGCCTCGACGCCCAACACAATTTTGACTTTTGCTGGCTCACAAGCATACAGTTACACAAGCACACACACACATACACACACGTATTGACACGCAGATGGACACGTAGCCATGAATTATTAAATGCTAATGGACAACTACGGCAATTATTTCACATGAGAGGGCATCAATACGTAATGAGCTACGTCCGGACACTACAACGGGTCGAAGTTTGAGGCACCTACTACCGAAACAGATTGAATAGTCATTGGTTTTTGGGCTGGCTAGATAATCGCCTGTCTAGTTTTAATTTAATCTCCTCCTGGTTATATTCAGCCAAGCCCCCATATTTAACAGGCTCCAACTTTTTGTTTACCTAATTTATTGCCAGGAATTATCGGTTGGGGAGATGGGAAAAGACCAACGCAGCGATTTTCGGCAAATAAATAAGATTTTTATGCCTTTCGGGGTGTCTTTAATGTTATAATTTATGTAGCGCGCCTGGAAGCAGGCAACATTTATTTTGTTTATTGCTTGCCGGACAGCAGGCTGTCAGCGAAATGTCGACGCATTGTGAGCGGATTTCGGCTACCGCATCGATTTGAATCGATTATCCCGTTTGACTCACGTTTGCCATGAAAATAAAATGTAAATAAAAGGCGACAGCCACGCATTTGACACACGGCGCACCGCCGATAACTTTTTCAATTTAGATATGATCCCGAAAGTATGTCGGGAATACGGCTCGGATAATCCCAGCAGTCAATGCTGGCAGGTGGTGTATAGGTGTATAGCTCCTTTCCATTAGCAATATGCGACCAAATGGCAAAACACTGTTCCTGGGCGCCCCGCAGCTCCCTTCCTTTCCAAACAAAGTGAGATCTACGAGAACGGAGATTCCCCACTGCCCCCCCCTTTTTTGCACATAAAGGCTGAGGGTATAAGCGACTCAACGTGTGTGTGTGTGCGTGAGGGGCGAAGAGGGCCGGAGGACGAAAATCTGCAATTCAGCCGGAACATAGCATACATTTTGTCGTTTTGCCAGCCGCAGGCGGCCACCAAACAAAAACCCCTCACATAAAGTCGTGCAGAGAGGAAAATATAGGGAGAAATTGTCATTTGAACGCTCTAAACTTTGTAAATTCCGAGAAGAAACTAAAAGAATATTTTAACAATCTATTAAATCATGTAAAGCCGTCTGTAAATATTAAATGGCTGAAAATTTGTAGAGATTTAGGGCTGATTTATAGTTTTTTGTAATGAAAATACTTCGTTAACGTTTTTGATAATTAATTTTTTATAGTTTAAAGATACAGACACCTTAAAGCATTATCTTTATGAAGCTATATTTAAAATTTAGATTTTTTTAGATATTTTTCTCTACGTGTTATTCAAAAGCCAATGAGCCTCGGCAGTTGGGCAAAAGAAATAGAACGAGGAAACGTGGCCAGAATTGTGTGTGGCTCCAAGAGATGTGGCCGTGGATATGAATGGGGATGGAAGATACGGAGGGTTGAGAATGGTGGGGCTGGAATGCATCTGAGCGACAACTTTGTGCAACTCCTGATGCAGGAAACATGGCTGTCATTGGTCACGCCGCCGCCTCACTGTACTTTGTTAGCGATGCGCAGCCAACGATAACTTTGGTGAACAATATCTTTCGCTCTTGGCTTTTTTTCGCCTGCCTCTTGGGCTTGTGTCTTTTGTCAAAGGGAAACTGAAAATGCAATTGCATTTCATGTTCGCACGAAATGTGAAATTGACGTCGAAAACGGTTTCTTTTATGTAAGTCAAGTTCGCGATTTCTATGGCAACGATTACTAAGCTTTCGGAGGGATTGGGTTTTAAATTTCTTACAAAGTAATTGAGATTTTCCAAAGCAAGGTAGGTAAAAATATAAGAAAACCGTTTGTCTTATTCACTTTTAAAGGAGGTATTTTTATTAATTTTCAGGGATATTTCCTTCGCTAAAACAACTTTTTACTAATGATCTCAAACTGAGTGCTTTTGCAGTGACTGTACCTGTCGCTATTCGTTTATCAAGAGTGGCAACTGGAGGGAACTTTAATTACGGGCCAACTCCATTGGCCAATCCAACGATTTCATTGCAGGCGAAGGGACCTCGCCATGTTTGCACATCCTTGCAGTGGCAGCCGTAGTTGTTGTTGTTGAGGATGTTGACCGTTGTTGTTATTATTGCTTGGTTATCCTGGGGCCAATTGCATGGCACATGCACACAAGGTTAGTAGGCAAGTTCACAAGCCAAATATGCTGTGCGTATGCCATGGAATGTGGGCGGTACTGCAATGGGATGGGACGGGGCAGTTTGGGTTTTGGTGCAAGAAGGTGGCAGAACTCTGTAGCCAGTGCGTCGTCTTACACGCAGTAGGTACGATGTTGGCTTGTCGGTCGAGTTGTTTGCACCACGTACTGAATAATGGATACGTTTCGTGCCACATTGAATGCCCAGCAGTGAGTGACATTGGCCGACGACTCGGGCTTTTTCGGGGGGCATGTTTTCGGAATTGTTAATGTAATTACGCCTGAGAGCCCTCTGTTGCCACCTTTTCGGTGGGGGTGCAGCCTAATCAAAGGCAGCGATAAGCATGTGGGAGTTTAAAATGCAGCCTGGCAATTTGCCTAATTGCCATGCGGCTAATCAAGTGACGAACTCCTGGATTTTCATGTTACCTCAACTCAAGCCCCTCGAAAATTACAAGTTGAAATAACTTTGCAGACGGTCGTTGAGCGTGAGTGAAATTCATCAACTTCAAGTCGAAATAAGCCAAAAAAAAAAACGAAAAACAAAAATAACAGGAGAGAACAGAAGGACAACGGGAGGCTGTAAGCCGCTTTTGTTTGCCATGATAAAATGGCTACAAAATGGCGTCAGCTGTGTGGGTGTGAGTGTTGGTTTGTCAGTGCATGTGGCACACACTCGAATCCCGAGTCCTTTGGCCTTGGCGCAAAACTGTCGTCTGTCTTCTGCTCTGCGTGTGTGGCTTAAATTTCACTTTTTTACATGCTGCCCTGGAAAAAGTTGTGCGATTTCCTTCCCTGACCTTGTGCAGGGTAAAATTACTTTCGCGCAAAGGTTGCCGTTCGCTGCAGGGAACATGAAAATTGATGCTCCATTGCCATGGAAAAAAGTTATTATAACGAATGGAAAAAACGAGATAATGTGTGAGAGAAAGAAAAAAGTTAGGTATAGAAATTAATTTATGATTTTCAATACTTTTTTAAGGTCTCAGGAAAAAGGGGTCATTTATAAAAATTAAATTTAGGTAAGATATAACATTTCTGTTTTCAGGATTCCTTTCCTTCTTTTTAATTTTAAAATTGCATTAATATCTTTCAATATACCTAAGTATAAGTATACATAAGTATATGCTTAGAGAGTTTAGTAGTCTCCCTTAATTATTATATATTTAATTTATACAATTTTTATTTTATGTAATGTCCTCTCAACGACCACAACTTAATGTAATATAATTTCTGTGCGTCTTTCGGCTTGTTTGCAAATTTTCAACGCCATTTTTGAAACGCCAGCGCCAGATGTCGACGGTTTCAGTTCGAAGCGCAGCGGGCAGGATTTCTTTTCGCTTTTAACATTACTTCAAGCAAAAGCAAAGGGAAAGCAAAAGCAAATGGAAAGCAAAAAAGTTCATATTGCGGTTGGCAGCAGATTGCACTTTGTGTGTGTGGGTATGCGAATCAGTGTGTGTGTCAGCGAGTGTGGCCGCCATTTTGTTAACTTGTTAACTAGTGTGCGTGACACGATATGCAATGGCGATGACAGATAAATCGCAGATCTGCATTAAATGAGTAAAATACTTTATATGAAAATAATTTTTCATAGCTTTCGATATTAATATTGAAGAACATAATCAAAATATATTTTAAAAATACTAATCAAACATTTAATTATTCTAGTTTATGAAAATAATGGAAATAGTAATTCGTTGATATAATTTATTGAATACACATTTTCAATTTGTTTATTATTTTCTAACTGTAATGCAATTATAGAAAAACATCTATTCGCCATAATGTTATTTAATTAAGTATTATAATTGCTGACAGTATCCATCCATGTTGGCCAAATAATCAGAAATATTTTTGTGCTGGTCAACCAATTAATGGCAAACAAACAAATCCAAATGCTATTAGATTGCACATGCGAATAGACGACAAACCGATACGCAAATCGTGGCGCTGTGCTGCGAAATTAATTAGATTTAATCGAATGCCAGTGGTCTGTCAACATTCGTTTGCCAAAGTTATTGAAGGACCTCAGTAGCATATCCTCCAACGCTGCTGTTGTATTACCCTTTGAATATTATTGAAAGGGCATATAAGTTTATGTGTGGTTTATGTAACCATTTAAAGATATATTTATAATAATTTTACTGAAAAATAATTATTCATTTAGCTGGAATAAAGATTTATTGGTAATTTCAATCTAAAATGAAATGTTTAACATGTCAGTTAGCCAGTACAGGGCATATCCAAATTCGAAACCTCGTTCTCAATATTGTTGTC